ATCATGAAGTGGATGTCCAAGATGACGCGTCGGTCGCCTGCGGGGCACCACACTCCCATATGAATACGTTGCACATTGAGAATTCATAGAATATGCGCTTCAGCTTCGTCATGGAAGTTAAACGTGGCACTCGGTAGCTCAATGCCTGTTGTTAGATTGTACTCGTGTCCACTGAAGCATTCTGTGTTGACGAGAATGAGATGAATTCTGGAGTTGTGGATCTCAACAACGCCTCGCATCGGCAACCCCGAATAACACCTTGGAAAGGCGTGAGCATGGAAAAAGTGTAGCAAGAGCATACCCAAATCGAAATTCTGAAAAGCCCACAGCTTATCGTCAGTCTCACTCTCTCTCTCTCTCTCTGTGGCCGTCTCTCTCGCGTGCCCCTTTTCAGCACGCAGTCCCCAGAGGGGAGGTCAAGTTTGCGCACGGCCCGTGAAGCCGAAGGAATCACTTGCAGGGTGACACGAAATTGATGGAAGCGGCTGGCCTACTGCAGAATTGCCTTGGGATGAGATGTCAAGTTGGCTTGCTAATTACCAAGCAGAAGGCCCTGGAATGCCTTCCATCAGGCACGTTATCCGATTTCGTGAGCTGACGCTGCAGACCAAGACGAGACTGAGGAAGAGACCTACGCTACGGTCAACACACTACTTGCCTGGCCCCTTCCGCTGCTTGTCGTCGGGTGTTTTGGTTTTGGCGGCCATAAACGTGAAGGAGTCATTTTTGCACTTGTCCCGCTCCTCAGCATGGTTCATCGGTTGGTGGTCTTCAGATCCATCGCCCGCACCTTGCCACGGAGTTGGGAACACTTGCCCCTCTTTATCAGGGCTCGGTACTCGTTTGTTGCCGGAGTACAGGAAGGTTTTGTCCGAGAGCAGGTCCTTCTGCTCCTTGTTCTCGTCTTTCTCGAAATCCCTCAAGATCTTGCGGTTGATCTTCCCAGCCTTGATCTGGTCAGAAACTCGCTTGATGAACTTCTTCACCGCAAAGCCGAATTTCCGAAAGAAGACGGGCAAGTCAGCCGGGACATCTACCTTCGCGGGCTCCTCGACCTTCGCAAGCACCCCGCCCATCCTTGCAGCCCAACGCTTCATGTGCTCGGACTGCAAAGTGGCTTTTTGAAGTTGGACGCTACAAGCCTCCTGCTCTTCGATGGCTTCGTTGAGCTTCTGCTCGGCTTGCTCCAACTTCTTGCGCAGCGCCATCGGGCTCCTGCTCTTGATGTGGTCGACCGGCAATCCTTCCATCTCTTGCTTCAGCTTCTCGTGCCTTTGTCTTAGCAGGTCCAGGTTTCCCTCCGCCTCCTTGACGGAGTTCTTCAAACTCTCGTGCTCCACTTCACGATTCAGAAACTTGTGGACGATGTCCATGACATCTGAGAGGCCGGTGATGTCCCGAATCGCTTGGAAGCCGTCTTCGGTGGTCTGTGATCTCTGTACCTGCTCGAAGGTTGTCTTCTGCAGACAATTCCCTGAGAGTTTCTCGATGGCATAAAGCTTCCGCAGTCGTCCAGCCGAGGCATTGAAGGCATCATTGGCTGCTGCCAATGCCACTCCTTGCAACCAGCTGTCAAGCTTGGCCCGATCTGCTGTAGCTTCCTTTCGCTTCTCAAGCTCTCCATGTATTGCCTCCAAAGCAGAGTCACGGACGTACAGCTCCGTTTTGGCCTCTTGGTCATAAGACTTTAGAGTCTTGTCCATCTGAATCTTGGCACACCTGGCTTCTTCTCTCTCCGTCTGCTTCTGCTGCAGTTCACGATTCTTCCTACTAAGATGCTCCTCCAACTTGAAAAGCTTCTGCTTTACGATGGCTTGCTCGCGCTGGGTCCGCTTCAGCATGTGCTCGTAAACTTTGCGGGTCGTCTCGGCTTCCTTGATTAGTCCGCCTTTCTCATCGACCTGCTTCCCTCTCTTTGAATCATACCCAGTCAACTCGATGAGCTGTTTGTTTAAGACATCCTCGGTCTCATAAATTTTGTCTGCTGACTCCCCCTTGTTCATGTCCATGTGCTCTTGGTCCGCAGTTCGGATTGCGTCCCTCAGTCGATTTAGCCGCGCCTGCTTGGCCTCCGCCTCTTCATGTACTTGGTCATACTGCTGGTGCACCCGGATCAAGGCCTTCTTGACCTCCTCCAGAACACCATCTTCTTTCGTCACGAGGGCATTCGTGGTTCGTTCCACGAGCCTGATGAAGTCGTGACTTGCGCTCCCCGGCTTGAAGGTTGGCGGCGGCATGTTGCACAAAGGCTCCCGGTCCTAAACAGAAAACACTGTGCGGGGTGCTCCACGGATGTAGTGGGAATGATTGTGCCCAGCTTCAGGACTGATGGGACAACGCGTGAAAGCGCTCAAGCTGGAAAAAGCCGGTTGAGCCGCAGCAGGCTTCAAGGTGGAACCGGCTTCAAGGTCGAGCTTTCAGGCATGGCTGCATGAGCAGTGCACACGCTCACCCTGCCACTTGCACTCTCGAGCGAGATTTCGGACCCTCTCACCGCGCCGGCGGGCCTCCTCCTCGATGGTCGGAAGCTTGAGCTCAGCCTGTCCTCATAGGCCAACGTTGCAGGAACTTTTTGCTAGTGACCTGGTCATGTTTGCTTCTGTTCTTCACTGGCTGTAGCAGAGTTCCAGGCGAGTGGATGGTAGTGCTATGAACGGCTGTAACGATTCTCATCGTAAGGAGTCATCCACGGCTCGAATGCCGAAGTCAGCATGCCTTTTCATGATTTTCAGGGTAGTTTCCGGAGTGCAACTCTCGAAAATTGGTCCGGTAGCAAGCGAGCTAGACGCGAGTTCGGAAAGAACACATCGATATGCTTTGATACTTGGGAAAGCTCGTCTGAAACAGTTTTGCTGAAGGGACGCGAGGCGAATAGTTTAAAGAAGCCCATTTGCACTCAGTCTTGGCTCAAGAACCTCGCGACCTTGCCACTGACAAATCGTCTGAACACTTGAATAAACACACTGCGTATGCTGTCATTGAGCATACTGAACCAAAAGCCGCTGGGGGAACCGTGCCGACGAATCCCTCCCCTCCGCACACAGCGACTCCTTCTTATCCAATGCGGGTTAGGAGACCCTTGTCAAAGCCGTTGAGATGAGCCCTGGCCGTTTCTACGAGCCTTCGTGCAGCCATGAAACCATCTGTGCTCCAGTCGCTCACATGACCGTGGCCGAGGCAAGGAAGGCTAGGCTCTACTCTTCAAGCCGGACGGCTGGAGGTGACCTCGAAAGTAGGAAGCTCTTGCACAAGTGGCATCAACACACTCAGCCAGCACGTCCTGATGTTCTGCGAAGGGGCTCTGGCAGGTTGGTGTAGATTGAGAAACAGCTCACACCCTGCTGCCCTGCCGTGCTCCTCTGGCCGCACCGGCCGAGCTGCCAGTTCCCGCAGCCTCGATGCCAATGCATCCAGCTACCAGCTGTTCCCAAGTCGAGGCCACATGGGGAAAGGACGCCACAGAGCACAGATCCGCAGTGCCCATGTGCTGTTGCAGCTCAGACTTTGCAAAAAGAGGCAGGAGGCTTTGGGTGCGCTACTTGCTGTAGATCTCCTCTTTCCGAATGCGTTGCCTTGGCCGGGCCGTTGAATCATGAACTGGTGAGTGTCCATACATGCCGGATGGGGGAACAAACATCTCGGCGGTCATGAAATTGTGGGTAGTGGACGCGGCGGTGCCTGCGGCAACTATGGTGGCAGCACTAGTGCTGCTTCTGACAGGGGAGGTGCGGGGAGGAGGAGGAGGAGGAGGGGGAGGATCGAGGAGGAACATCAGCAACTAGCTAACGGCCCTGGTTCTCTGATATATGCACGCCCTCTCAGTGGCACTTTCTTAGAAACCTCACCCTGCGTGCTGCTGGCATAGTTTCAAACACCCCCAAACCCGGAAGCTCTCTGAGATTGCAGGCTCGTTCTTGAGGTCCTCCCGGAGGAGGGACAGCGAGGCTTCCTGGCTCCATCGCCGCTCCCCCCAGCCCCAGCCCGGCAAGGGCTTCTAGTCTGCTTAAAGGATCATGGGACTTAGTAATTAAGGTTATAAGGCCCTTAATTGGGGTTATAAGTATATAGTTCCCCTAATTATAACCCTACTTACTAAGTCCCTTAATTGGGGTTATAAGTATATAGTTCCCCTAATTATAACCCTACTTACCAAGTCCCTTAATTGGGGTTATAAGTATAGTTCCCCTATAATTATAACCCTACTTACTAAGCCCCCATGATCCTTTAAGTAGTATAATGGTTCCTATAAGGGTTCCTCTAAGGCTTCCTATGATCCTTTAAGTGCTTTTGGGCATCCAGGTGTCAGCAGCTGGACTCGTGTGCTCCAGCCTGCTTGCCGAAGGCAAGGCCCTGCGTCCTCTGGAGCTCTGCCAGCTCCTCTAGCGACTTGGGGCTTCTATACGGGTTATTATAACGGTTAAGGGTTTAGGGTTCATGGGTAGTTATAAATAGGGTTACTATAAGGGTTACTACAAGGGTTTAGGGTTTAGGGTTCATGGGTAGTTATAAATAGGGTTATAAGTAGGGTAACTGTATACTTATAACCCATATTAGGGGGCTTATAACCCCACTTATAACCACCCATGAAGCTCCAAGCACTGCAGCTACGACTGTGGATCCCACTCCAACCCTAATCTGCAAAACGAAACTCCTCCACGCGATGCCGACCAATTTCTAGGTCGTGCAGGCGCTGCGCCTCACTCTGGCGGAAACCGTTGAAGCGATTTTCATCTTCGATGCTCAGCTAACACGGAAATGCAGCAAGGACTGCAATAAAAAACAAAGAGCAACAACCGGAGCTGCTAGCTGCTAGCTAGTGGCAATGATAGTGGTCATGATGATACTGAAACTAATACGACACTTGTATTACTTCAGAATGCCACTGTAGGACACGCAGCAATGATGATCACACCAACACGAACATTGGCAGCGGCAAGGTTGACCACGAAACACGAGGCAGACAAAAGGCACTCAGCAAAACAATTTTTGGGAGAGCGACAGTTGTTCTGGCACTGAAGATACTACCAATACGACTACAAATGATGTCACGTTGACTTGCCAAGGCTCTGATTGATGGGGGCAAGCTAAAGAAAGGCCCCACAGCATCTGGCTTGTGAGAACAGGCATGCATTTCGGAGGGCGCTACCTGGCCACCCATGTCTGCTTCGATGCGGTCCATTCGGAAAGAGATCTCCTGGAGCGGTTGCTTCGCTCAGATTAGAAGCTCTGGGTGATGAGGTCAGACAGCCACATGCACAAACTCCCGCACCAGCTGTGAGTTTTCAATGCATGCCCTGACTGAATGGGATGGCTATGCGCAGCGAGTCAGCGCTCGACTTCTGCCTTTTTCCGTGTCTCTCACTTTGGAAGCTCGCTTCATTGCCTCACCTCCCTCCTTTGAGAGAAGCGCATGCAGGGGAGCCCCTCCCACATGGGAGGCCCACAGACTGCTTCCATGCACCCCAAAGCCAAGGATTCCACGAAGTCCCTCGGCTCTCCTTTACTCTCCATCCCTTACCTCCCGTGAAAAACGGGAGGGGCTCCAGCCCACCTTGGCCCGGCGTGGCCTGCTTTTCCACAGGCCAACGCAGACGCTGCGAATTATGCATACATCCTTTGGGTACTGAACCCATACAGCAACAGTCTATAATGGGGCTACTATTAAGGGCCCAATAGATCCATAATATAAATAGTATCCAACTGTCACTGAGTGGGGGCAGCACCCAATACATCCTGTTCTGAGGGCTGGAGAGTCGGCGCTTCTCTCCTGGTTGCATTAGTCTCAGACTGCCGAGGCTCAACCCTCAGCCGACAGTGAAACCAAAGAGTCTCCCGACACCGACACCGGGCATTGGCAGCAGCCCATTCACAAAGCATCCCTTTTGTTAGTTTCATGTTGCCGTGGCACCATCGACAGCATGGTGTCAACATGACACATCCTGGCCAAAGCCTGCCCGAGACAAGGCGTCTGGGCAGGGAGATCGAGGTTGTTCCTCTCAAGATCCGATATGACACAAGTCGCTGGGCAGCTGACAATGACTACTACGTCCGAATCCTCATCATAAACCCTTGCGAGTATGAATACGAACAAGAGTCGCCTCAACTCCCAAGACCTGCATCTGACACATCCCCCCTCCAGGCAGGAGTTCGCCGCCCAGTGACTCTGGAGTCGTGCACGGTGCCCTCATCTCCTTGGCCAGTGCTTTCCAACCCTCCTACCGAAGCTTAGGCCCCCCCCCCTCCAGCTGCGGAATAATGGACGAGTTGACGTCCCGGCATAGGGCTGGCTCTATGTATGTCTCTATTCCAGGCGGGTGCGGGGGAAACTCATCATCAGCTGGACCGTGGCTGTGCCGAGAAACATCAGCTTCACGGAGGCGGTCGTCTGGTCTGGATACAACACCTCAACCTCACGCAGACGCGCAGGTCATGGGTTTTCACATGTTTTGAAGGCAAGTGACGTTGAGGTAAAACGAAACCCGGCCTGCTTCACTCGCGGAGCAGGCTTCATCGCTGGCTCCTGCAGCAAGTGGGGGTTGTTCAGGGGCAACTGGCGAAAGGCACCGCTTCGAAAGCACTCCACCGACAAGGCCAAGACGCCGACACCCTCACGACTCTTCATGTCGCTTGCAGTTGACAGCACGGCATGCTTTGCCGTTCGAATGCTGAAACTTGGCCCTGCGTTTTCAAGACTTTGACCGCAGTTCACGACATAAGCTCAGTGAGCAAAACCCACAGCAGCCCACCCTGGAGCGGAAGAGCGGGAAGCACAGCAGGGCGAAGAATATGCCAAGCAAGCATGCCTCGCACAAGAAATTGGGTCTGCAGCTTCAAGCGTTGGGCTACCGAGCAAGTGAACCGAAACTTTGGGGCTTCTTGGTTCGGGCTTGGGCAGCCGCAAGGTGCAACCAACATCTCTGGAAAATTTGGACCGGCATTCTGCAGGCATGTTTTTCACATGTTCGTCAACTCTGAACAATGGTAGATTCATTTCTGCGTTTTGAAAGTTCCAAACTTTGGAACTGATTCTGGACGTGCCGTCGGCTGCGACCAAACTCATCACATCGAACTCCGCATCAAGGATGCCTAACGCGTGCCGTGCAGTACGCTCTCCGAACGCCCCCGTCTACCCATGCTGGCAAGCCACCCCTGCCAGCGAGATCCAAAGCCAAGGGCCCGTCTCTGGGTTGGAGAGCTCCTTCAAAGCTTCTGTCGCTGCGAATGGGTTTGGGGAGCC